AGGGGAGGCCCCAGGGATGGAATTCCCACCGGGAATGATGGAAGGGGAGGCCCCAGGGATGGAATTCCCACTGGGAATGATGGAAGGGGAGGCCCCAGGGATGGAATTCCCACTGGGAATGATGGAAGGGGAGGCCCCAGGGATGGAATTCCCTCCAGGAATGCCCAAGGGGAGGCCCCAGGGATGGAATTCCCTCCAGGAATGCCCAAGGGGAGGCCCCAGGGATGGAATTCCCGCTGGGAATGGGGGCTGGGGGCTGAGCATTCCCCCTTTTCCAGCCGTCCGTGGATTTCTTCAGCCACGAGGTGCGGATCCACCCCGTGACCAACCGGCCGGCCGACAAACGCAGCTTCATCCCCTCCCTGGTGGAGAAGGAAAAGGTGACCAGGAGAGCCTGGAATTCCAGGGGGAAAATCCAGCTGGGATGGGCAGGGTGGGGAAAATGAGGAGGGGGGGGCAAGATCCCGGTGGGATGGGGAGGGGGGAAAAGCTGAGGAGGATGGGGAGATCCCAGAGGGATGAAGAAGATGGGGAGATCCCAGAGGGATGAAGCTGGAAAAGCTGAGGAGGATGAGGAGATCCCAGAGGGATGAAGCTGGAAAAGCTGAGGGGGTTGGAAAAGCTGAGGAGAGGATGGGAAAATCCCAGTGGATTGGGGGGATTGGGAAGATCCCAATGGGATTGGGGAGAATGGGAAAATCCCAATGGATTGGGGGGATTGGGAAGATCCCAATGGGATGGGGAGGGTAGAAAAGCTCCAGTGGGACGGGGAGATTGGAAAAACTGTGGAGGAAAGGATGAGGAGATTGGAAAATCTGGAAAGGATGGGAAGATCCCAATGGATTGTGGGACTGGAAAGATCCCAGTGGGATGGAGAGGGTGGAAAATCTGAAGGGGATGGAAAGATCCTGGTGGGATGGAAGGATTCCAATGGATTGAGGGGATTGGAAAGATCCCGGTGGGATGGGGAAGGTGGAAAAGCTGAAGAGGTTGGAAAAGCTGAGGAGGTTGGAAAAGATGGAAAGAATTCCAGCTTTCAATGACTGAGGGAATTGGGAAGATCCCGGTGGGATGGGGAAGGTGGAAAAGCTGAGGAGGTTGGAAAAGCTGAGGAGGCTGGAAAAGCTTGGAAAGGCTGAGGAGGCTGGAAAGGCTGAGGATGTTGGAAAAGCTTGGAAAGGCTGAGGAGGTTGGAAAAGCTGAGGAGGCTGGAAAAGCTTGGAAAGGCTGAGGAGGTTGGAAAAGCTTGGAAAGGCTGAGGAGGCTGGAAAAGCTTGGAAAGGCTGAGGAGGCTGGAAAAGCTGAGGATGTTGGAAAAGCTGAGGAGGCTGGAAAAGCTTGGGAAAGCTGAGGAGGCTGGAAAAGCTTGGAAAGGCTGAGGATGCTGGAAAAGCTTGGAAAGGCTGAGGATGTTGGAAAATCTCCTCTGGGATGAGAAGGAAGGAAAACTCCAACTCCCAAATGCCGGGAATTGCCCGCAGGTCTCCAAGCTGGTCCACGCCATCAAGATGGGCTGGATCCAGCCCCGCAAGCCCAAGGAGAACGTTCCCACTTTTTACGACCTGTGGGCACGGGAGGATCCCAACTCCATCCTGGGAAGGCACAAGATGCACGTCCCCGCTCCCAAAATCCCGCTGCCGGGCCACGAGGAATCCTACAACCCCCCCCCGGAATTCCTGCTCAGCCCCGAGGAGGTCGGGAATGCCGGGAATGCCGGGAATGCCGGGGAGATCCCGCGGGGAGGGGGTCTGGGGGATGGTTCATCCCTGGGATTGCTCCAGGATGAGGGGAATTGTGGGTGCCCGTGGGATAAAGGGAGATTTGGGATCGTTTCCCTTGGGATTGGGGTGGCCCTGGATAACTGGGAGAGGTTCTGGAGTGGGATTTGAACTGGTGGGATGGATGGGGGAAAACAGGGAGCAAAATCCCGGTGGGATGAGGAGGGTGGGAAAGATCCCCATGGGATGGGGA